ACTGGTCCGGGGAAACCCCACCCCATCGTCTCCTTCCGAGCACCTGCCCATTGGCACCGAGGGGCCTGGGTGTATCATTTGAGGCCCCACCGGTTAGAGCTCGCCAACCATCTCCCACCCTGAGTGTGTGTGTGCATGTGTGTGTTGGTTTCCCCCATCAGACCATAAGGCCCACCTCCAGCCCCAAACTACGTGGGTCCTGCATTTCAGCCAGGATGGGGGGACGGAGGCATGACTAGGTCATCCATAGTGTCTTGCCAGAGGCACGGGGAAGCCCTGCTCAGGGACTGTCCCGCTCCTTAGCACGCGTGTGGCCTGGCTGCTGGGCCTTCCCTTGCTCCTGGGGCAGATTAGCCATGATCCTTCCTGACTCCTTCGCAGTGTCCTCAAGGGAGACCGAGGGAGCGCCTCGCTCCTGGTGTCTGAGGGGAATTTCTGCACCCTCCCACCTCATCCCACCCCTTCATCTGGGGACCCTCCCTGCTGGCGGCTAGTCAACCCGTGAGTCAGAACTACATAAACGCTCACAGAACTGCCATGAAGTCCCACCTCTGCAGATTCCAGGCACGTAGTGGTACGATTGTGGCAGAATGCATAGCAACCAGGGCACCCACAATAGGGAGGGCTTCCTAGAGGAGGTGGCACCCAACCTGAGCCAGGAGAAGAGGGGCAGGCAGAGCATTCTGGGTAGAAGGATGTAAGTCGTGGCAGGGGCAATGACTGGCAGTTTGGCAGCAGCTACAAGCTGTGTGGGACTGAAGGATCCTGGAGTAGGAGGGCAGGGGTGGTGAGGGGTGAAGCTAGAGAACCGGGCAAAGGGCAGAGGCTGGGTGTGGCTCTCTGGGTACAGGGAGCCTCTACAGAGGCTTTGGCTGGAGCATCCCCGGTGGTGCGGAGGGAAGAGAGAGGGCCGTGCCTGCAGGTGGGGCCCAGCTGAGACACTACCACAGGAGTCAGGCTAGGGCACACAAGGCTTCGGGCTAGGCAAGACCAGAGTCAAGGAGGCGACCGATTCAAACACCCGAGGCAGTGTGCATACTCAGGTGCTGGGCTCTACAGGCTGAGGCCACATGGGAGCCCCAGGTTCAATTCATAGGCCCAGGCCTGCAGCCCTAGCAACTCGGGGAAGTTGAGGCAGGAGGTCACAAGTCCAAGGTTGGCCCGGACTGATAGCAAGACCATGTCTGGAAAAGAGCAGCCTGTGGTGGCAGGTATCTGTAGCCCCAGCTGGAAGGCTGAGGCCGGGAGATCCCAAGAAGACAGGGTGCTGTTTGCTTTCTTTTTTTCTTATTTATTTTAGGTTTTTGTCATAGGGCATGTGCGCTCACCTTAGAGAAACAGAGGGAAAGTGAGAAATCATCCCCCAGGAAGGATGGCAGTGCTGCAGTCCCTTCTTGTCCATTCTCCTCTTGGGATTTGGACCCCCCCCCCACAGCGTGATTTTCAAGCCACTAAGCCTGGGACTCAAACCGTGGTCGGCCAGGTGGAAATCCAGTGCCTTAACCACCACACCACACCTGGGGTTTTTTGTTTGTTTGTTTTGTTTTGTTTTGTTTGTTTTTAGCCAGAGGATACATGTCTGACCAGAAACAGACAGTGAGAAAGCACCTTCCAATGGGGCGTGGTCACTCTGCAATCCCTCCTTTTCTCTATCCCGTCAGGATGTGGGGCATGCACATTTATGTGCCCTGCATGTTTTTCAGGCCTCCGGGCTCAGGATTTGAACTATAATCAGCCATGTGGGATCCAGTTCCCCCAAACACCAGGCTATCAGGTGGCTCAAGACCCTGTGTTTCTGTTGTTTGTTTGTTTGCGTACTTGTTTGTTTTTTGAGGGAGATTTTTACTATCAGGGCACGTGTGCTCGCTGGAGAGACAGAGACAGAAAGCGAGAAATCAGTCTCCGGGGGGGATGGCCACGCCGCAATCCCTTCTCCTCCATTCTTCTCTCAGGATCTTGGGCACACATGCACGTGTGCCCAGCGTGAGTTTTAACCCCCCTGGTCTGGGACTCGAACTGCACATGGGAGTCCAGCAACATAACCATTACACCATTTGCTGTTCCCTGTTTGTTTTTCAAAGAACCATTTAGGTGATGAAGTCGCAGGACATGAGGACAAAAAGAGAGACAAAACCACTCGTCCTCCCTGAAGTACCTAGTGCGTGCTGGCACCGTGTCTGGCAATGGAAGCATAGGGTTGAAAGCCTCTTAGAGCCGACACAGTCGGCCAGCTCCTGCCCTCTGGTTGCTTGGTTCTGTGACCTGTGAATCCTGTAGCCAAAAGGGGACATAGGCCAAAAGCATGAAGCCTTTCTAGAAAGTTCTAGATCTGGGTGGAAGATACTATGCTCTCTCCTGTACCCATAGGGATTCACATGACTGGCCAGGTGCGTCCTCCCACTGTTTCCAATCTCATCTCCCACCTCATGGGTACCTATGGCTCAGGCTTGTTCAAAGGACTGGTTAACACAGATCACTAAGCACCCAGCACAGGACTGGAACCAAGAGCTCAGGACTTCCTGAACCTCCTCCATAACCAGCGTTTTGCATGCCCTAAATTAAACACACCTCGGTGCTCAGACTCCTGGCCCATCCTGAGTCACCTGTGAGAGCTGGTCACCTTTGACCCCAAACCTTTCTGTAAGTGGCACTTGTAACTGTGGTTGTGTCGTTTCATTATTATGTAAGTCAATGGAAAGAGGCAAAGAGACAGTTGTCTCATTATAACCAAGACCTTGGAAAGCCTTGATGGAAGCAATTTGCTTTTTAAAAAATCGGGTACAGGTCAGCCAGTGGCATAGTGGTTAAAGCAGCTGGATCTCATGTAGCAGACCATGCAGTTCGAGTCCCAGACCCAGTGGCTTGAGAAACGTGCCAGGTGTATGTGTACGTGTGTCCAGAATCCCATGAGTAGAACTGAGGAGAAGGGATTGTGATGTGACCATCCCCCTGGGGGTGATTTCTCACTTTCCCTCTCTCTCTGGTACGCCCATGTGTCCTATAGCATAACTCAGGGGGAAAAAAAAAAAAATATATATAAAGGTGCTGAACTCCCACCTGACCAACCGTGATTAGAGTTCTGGACTCAGTGACTTGAAACTCATGCTGGGTACGTGTGCATGCATCCCCAAGATCCCAGGAGAGAATGGAGGAGAAGGGATTACAGTGTGGCCATCCCTCTGGGGGTGATTTCTCACTTTCCCTCTCACTGTCTCTGTCTCTCTCTCTTTTTTAAAAAAGTATTTCTTTATTTATCCACTCATTTATTTTTTAATTTGACCAGAGAGAGAGAGAGATTGGGGGAGAGAGAGAAAATGAGAAAGCAAGCCACCAGGTCCGGGACTCAAACTGTGGTCAACCATGTGGGAGTATCCACCACCTCAACCACCATGCCACCTGCTGGTCATGTCTCTCTCTCTCTCTTTAAAACAAATCATAATAATTCTATTTAATATTGCCATTATTTTAAAATTTGTAATAGGCCACATGCATTCATCAGAGACAGAAAGATACAGAGAGAAAGAGAGAGAAAGTAAGAAAGCAAGCCGCCAGGTCCAGGACTTGAACTGTGGTCAGCCATGTGGGAGTCCAGCACCTTAACCACCACGCCACCTGCCGGCCCTCTTGTCTTTCTCTTTCTCCAGCGAGCACAGGCACCCTATGGCAAAAACCTTTAAAAAAAAGAAGAAGAAGAAGAAAAGGAAAAATATAGACAGATTGTTCATCCCTTCGCTTTGTCAGTATCTTTATGCTCCTGCTCCAGTTCAGGGGGAACAGAAACCGCACTCAGACACGCAGTACGGGTGCAGTTCATACGCGAGAGCCCATGGGGCCCTATCTCTAAGCAGTGCCGAGGCGCTGTAGCAAAGGACTGGCAAATAAATGTACGTGTCTATGTTTAAAATTGGAGTAGGATGTTGAAAAGATGGATATAGGGAACAGCAGTTAGCGTAATGGCTGTGTCGCTGGACTCCCACGTAGTCGACCGCGGTTTAAGTCCTGAACCCGGTGGCTTAAAACTCACGCTGGGCATGTATGTGTGCCCAAGATCCCAGAAGGAGAATGGAGGAGAAGGGATTGCGGCGTGGCCATCCCCCCTGGAGGGGGGGTGATTTCTGGCTTTCTGTCTCTCTGTCTCTCTGTCTCTCTTTCTGGTGAGTGCACGCGAAAACCTCTAAAGAAAAAGAAGAAAGATGGATCTCTCCTGAATGGGGACTCTCACCATTGATTAGCCAGACAAATGTGGTCCCAGAAAAGAGGATTTCTTCTGGGGTGGGTGTTCACTGGGAGCACTCCCCTCCCTGCCCTTTCTGGGGTTCCAGCCCATGGATCTGGCTCCCTGCTACACTCACAAGCCCCACTGTGAGGTGCCTGGTGGGCTGGGAGAGAGCCCCGCCTTCAGTGGGACCGGAGCGGTAGGAGCTCTGGCTGAGGAGCTGGCCTGCAGGGTTAGAATCGGCTCCTCCACTGCTGCCTTGGGCACGTGCCCCAGTTTCCTCGCTTCTGAAGCGGGGGTGATGCCATTTCATACAAGGACATTGGGCAGTGTCGTAGTCGTACATGGGGCCTGGAAGGTGCCATGAGGGCCAGCTGGGACTAGAACCCGCATCACTGCAGAGCACTGCCTTTTGCCTTTGAGCATTGCCAGGTGGAGGCCTCAGGGCCAATGCACCTGCACCAAAGGTGCTTCGGGGTTCGGGTTCTGCCCGAGAGAGCAGGTGAGGTGTGGAGATGGTGGCCACGTGAGCCCTCTCTGCTGGTGCTGGTCACACGGAGCCTAAGCGCCCGCCTCCTCACCCGGACTCACCTCTTTGCCTGGCAAAAATGAATACCCTCCTGGCCCTGTGTTTCTTGTGCACAGAACCAAAGGGCCAGCTGAGGTCCTATGCCACTTTGTCAGAGCAGGAGCGAGGCCAGCCCTGGGACCCTCTGTCCAAGACGCCAGCTGGCAGAGGCTGCCCGGGATGACCGCCTGTGCCGCCGGCATCTGTCTTTTCCAGTGGTTTCCAGCGATAGTGACAGTGACTCGGACCTCAGTTCCTCCAGCATGGAAGACAGACTCCCACCTGCCGAGGTCAAGGACCTGAGAGGTGACAAACCCTGCGGGGAACCCGGTAAGTGCGGGAAGTAACACGGGCCGGGTGAGCGGCAGAATCGCGGCCCCCACACATCTTGAGTTCTCTAGACCCAGGAGCAGAAACGTGCCTGTCTAGGAAAGGGGGAAAACAGATGCAGAGCCTTAGCATCACTGAAGACAGGCTTCTCTGCAGGTGCGGGGTGGGAGGGAGGCAGGCCAACCTCCCTGTACCCTCCCCCTGCACAGCTACAGCCCTGGGGGGGATGGCCATGCCACAATCCTCTCTCCATCCTCCTCTCGGGATCTTGGGCACGGGCGCACATTCCTGGCATGAGTTTTAAGCCACCAGGTTCGGGACTCGAACCACGGTGGACTATGTGGGAGTCCAGTGATATGACCATTACGCTAACTGCTGGTCCCCCACATGTGGTCTCTTACAGGTGGCAGTGCAGGGTCCCCCAGGACGGGGTTCACCTACCCACCCAGCCACCTCTCAGGAAGCCAGAGCAGCCTGGCCAGTGAGACTGGGGCCAGCTCTGCAGACCCACAGAGAGGCACCCTGCCCCGGCCTGACCCACAGGGCCCAGGTGAGTACGCAGCTGCCCTCCGGCCCACCCGCCTTCTCTTCTGCTCGCCTCCCTCCCTGCCGCCTCCCACCCCGCCCAGAATTGGAGAGTGGCAGGGGACGTTTTCAATGGTCCCTGGATATCGAGCTCTGGGAAAGGCGCTGGGGGACAGAGGGGAGCCAGGCCTCATCCCTGCCAGCAATGGACAGAGAGAGGGACCTGACCCAAGGGACACCAGGCACACACAGACTGGCCCCCAGTCTCCCTAGGAAAGAAACCCTGGTTGGACAGGGCATCTCCCCAGCCGTGCCCATTTGGATTGGAACAGCAGCTCATTTCCTGCCTTGGACTGGGGAGGGCACCCCGGCTGCCACCCACCTCCTCCCCCATTCTGGTCCCCGTCTTGATGGTTCCCCAGAAACTGCAGGGCACCTAGGAGGGAGGCGGCAGGTCTGAGGAGTGGGAGGCGTCTGTGACCTTGGGGTGGGCCCAGTCCTCTCCCTGCAGCCTCCTGAAGTCCTCCAAGCAGAGCGATTGGAATCAGGTAGGCCCCATGCCAGTCCTGGCCCTAGTACCCAAGGGCATGAGACCTTGGGCAGACTATCAGGCCGAACCATATGAAATTGCATTCTCGTAGGTTTGATATGGTTGGACCTAACATTGGACCTCCCTGTCCCCGTCCTGCTGTGGCTAGCTTGTCCCTAGCCGTAGGAGACAGTAAAATCCATGTCCCATGTACTGCCCACCCTGAGTCAGTCCTCAAGGAATCAGTGGGGGAGGCCACGTAGCCCAGTGCGGAGAGGGGGTGCGGGGCTTAAGAAATGACTTGGAGGGGCCAGCAGGTGGCTCTGGACTCCCACACAGTAGACTGCAATTCGAGTCCCAGACCCAGCAGCTTGAAAATCAGAGCAGGTGCATGTGCGTGCCCAAAGTCCCAAGGGGAGAATGGAGGAGAAAGGATTGTAGTGTGGCCATTGCCCCTGGGGAATGATTTCTCACTTTCCCTCTCTCTGTCTCTGGCAAGCACACATGCCCTATGGCA